GAGAATACTGACTTTATTCACACATTCAGGATATAAATACTAGGTATTGACTATATTTTTTCAAAGTAACAAATTAATTCAAATTCAAATTGTTTACATTGAAATTCCTAATTTTAAGGTATTTAAACAACTAAAAAGTTGAATAATACTGGCTATAACTTCAGTCTGTAATTTCGTTATCACAACATTATTACTGAAGTTGCCCTCTTTCATAATTAAAATGAGCTCCACCAGTCGTATCGTAGCTCGCTCGCGTGTATTCAAATATTTGTGAGTTCGCGAATATGATAACGGAATCGCTTTATTTCGCGATATCGCGGGAATTAATTAAGGCAACTGCGTGAAGCACCGCCCGCGGTAAAAGCGCAGACTTTCAAACAATTTGTTTATTAAACAGAACAGGGGTTCTCAATCTTTGGTAATGACATCCCATTTGGAGTATCAAAGGTCCTTTGCTTAGATGTTCACTTTTTAGGGCGAGAAGCCCACGGAGACTTTTTAGCATCGCTACTAAGTCGCATTTGCAACGCACTACATAAGTGATGCCAACGCACTACAGAAGTGATGCCAACGCGCTACAGCAGCGCAACTGCATCGCTAAAAAAAGTCGCCGTGGTTGAGGGCCCTTATTCGTAGAAAAAACCTTGTTTATACTTATATTGATTAATTGATAAATTCAATTTTATGCAGCATTATATTTATTTTATAAATAGTCCGTGACCCTTATGGGGCACACTGAAAACCAGCGTCGTGTGGCCTTCGTCACTGGGCTACGGCATATGCCGTTGCAGTTGGCACGATGATTGTGAGTAGGTGGCACTGCTCAGTTAATTCTTGTTTTTGTTTTTCTAATATTTCTTTCTTGCTTTCTTAAAATAAACATTGCTTCAAAGTTTTGTGTGTTCTTTATTCAAAAAGTACTCCTTTTTGATCTGTAACATGCACATAAACTATAAAATAATTCGCTCTATCAACATAATTATGATTAGCAATTTAAATTTATAGGTTTTTGTGTTGAAAAAAGCAACTATCGGGTCCGTGTAACATAAGTAAATGAATTTTTCTCAAATAATTTTTTGTGGGACTGTTAACTCAAACTTTGAGAACCACATGCTTAGGTCATAAATCCTCTTGACAACAGGCGGCGTGAAAATTTGGCATCACTAGAAAGGATATTAATTATTAATTAATTAACTCCACCTAAAAGGAACAACTAAAGTTTTGATACACTGTCTGGTGCGGGACTAATAATGATTAATGATTGCGAAAGGGGAGAGGCTCTTGCCAATAAGGTTTAATTTGTATTGTTTCGAGTGCGATATGTAACAAAAATTAAAACAGTTTTTGCTATTATTCATTTGGTGCTGGTGCAAGTTGCTGCCAACGTCCTTAAAGAAAAAATCCTAAAAGAATCTTATTCCTAAGTAGTTACGGGGAATGCAAATGACAGTCTGTTTGGGACATTGCAGGCTTGAATGAACCTAATTTTCATTTCCAATGAGAAAATTATGATTCACGAATCCATATTTTTTTAAAGGCACGTTTGAGTCAGTTCAATTGTATCGTTTGATGCTTTGGCAGCTTTTTAAGTCTTGATACCACGTCGTTGGCAGAACAACGTTTTTACAACCCATTTCAAAACTACTTAATTTATTTTTTGTACATGACGTTTAAGGTGTTAAGAAATTAAAAGTTCAGTACTCAGTAACTTTAACCCTTCATTTGGCAGTGATGCTTTTAAGCAACAACTAGATACGAATACGGAGGACTTCGTTTCCACGTCCTTTTCTTTCCTCGAACTTGTGAATGTTTAGCAGGTTAGCCACGACTTCAGGATCTCCGGGTAGCTATGAGAAAATAATGTACATTTAGTTTCTCATAATCAATGGATAAAACCATACTATTATTATTTTCTTATAAATTGTAAAATTGATCAGGTCAGTCTTATTGCCCTCTTTATAAAAAAGAAAGCAAAATATAAATGAATGAATGTTGTTGATACTTTACTTCATTCTTTTCAACGCATTTCAATTCAGGTCCTACTTTGAACATACACAACCTCTGTCTGTAGTGGTTTACCTGCAAATTCAAATAATAAAAAATGTTTGAATCAAAGAATATTAAACGTTTAAAGAAATTACACCACTAATTATGAATCTTCTTACGTATGAATTTCTTATATCCTTGCTGGATGGCACGCGTTCAAATCTGTCGGCATACTATTACAAAAATATTAAAATATGAATTAAAACTATTGCAACGGGGCGTCTAAGCTAGCTCAGTCTGACACCCCGCTGTTTAGTACTAAGTCCCAGTTCGCCTTCTGCGATGAGGGATGTGTACCTATCCAGGATGCCTACAGGGATATTTGACCAAGGAAACGCACAATCAATAACACAATGGCACTTTATAATCTAGGTTCCACAATAGTTTACTTATTCTAGTTTCACTGACTCTAAATCGCTATCGTTTAATAATGAGCAAGTTTACAAGTACTTTACAAGTTATATCACAATTTACTAATTACAACAAGAGGAATAACGACGCGCCCGGTTCGCGTCCCGTTAGCTAACTTTCGTATCCGCGAGAGGGGCGGCGCCCTGTGCGAGGTTTATCGAGTGTTAGTCTGGATACTTATAACTAGGGGGGTAGGATGTGGTTCGTTAGCTCAAGCCAGAGACCGAAGCCTCGATAGTGAGTACGACCACTAGGGAAAGGCGTTGGACCTACGAGGTGAGGGGGTGTGAAGTTCAGGAAGGGTGGCAGCAGGATTGCTACCGCAGGTTCGGGATGAGTATCTCATGCACTACTCGGTAAGGACGAGAACCGGTTGGCTATCAACGATAGAACGTCTCGACACGACGCTATATGGCAAGCCGCGGATTAATGACGAGGTATCGGATCAAGCCAGAGTCGAACAGTTAGGGTTAGTAAGGAACAATGTGGATAGCTATTCGCTAGGGACTCTGTGCAATGCAGCCGAGGGAACGATAGACGCGCGCGCGAACGTCTGGCTGTTGCAATGGCTCCCGAGCGAATGCTAGGCGCCCGCGGTCGCCGCCGTCTCTTATATTAGCTCGGTCCGTGCGGCGTGCGGCCGCGCAGCCGTAGGGTTGTCAAAATCTCTGCGCTCGGTGCTAGGGCTGTCGATGCGTCGCGGGGCGCGTCACACTATTAATAACAGCAATCGTTATAGTCTAATATCAATGAAAAGTTTTTCACTTTTGGATGTTAGATATTTTCAAAAAGGGGAAGGAAAAGTTAAATACTAAATCAATGTAGAGAAGAATAATATAATTATCACAGTCATCTTACCGTATTAGAAATGACTAAAATACTCATGTTAATAACAAACAAATACAAATGCATGTCTAATGTCTCAATCACTCACTATCACTGAGTATTTGGATTCTGATGAACCTATGTCATAAAGGTATTAAGGCGAAACTCCACTGTAAACTTAACATAGTATAAATTATGAAGCTACTACTGTTTTTTGTTAAAATAATTCAATAGTCAGTCTTTGTTTGAAAGTTATTCGTATTAATTTTATTTGGAAAACTATAAATATGTCTCACGAACGATCTGGCGACTCCTGGAGTAGTAACTAGGTGCGCAAACCACCGGGCCAGGTGGCCGATAAACAATGCCCGTTCATCGCTTGTTATGTTGTGGGAAAGAAGGTTTATCATGTCGAGAATTGATAATATCCATTCATAATTGATTAATTCCTATCAAAGATTATCGTCATATAAAGCTTTGATTTTAATTTTTGCCCTTCTACTCGTGTAGCACAGTAGGTAGTTTAAGATGGGCCGATAATAAATGATCGTGAAGATTCTATTTCCCTTCTCCAATTTCTTTTCATTGTTTAGTTAATCAGTTGGGAAATTACCAACCGTTTCCTCATACGACTTCGGCCATTTTGTATTTGTAGCCGTTTCCCGCTCTTTTTGCGTTTGACAGAGGTCCACGAAATGGCGTCTCGCCGACATCAAAGCTTACCAATGTAACCGAATATTTGGAATTACGGAGGCGACGCAAAGGGAATAACTAATAGGCTTCCTGATATCCCAGTGATGTACTTGATAAGAGAATAACCAAGTTTTGTATTACATTCTGCCCTTGAAAAAATGAGGACAGTGTATTGTTCGACTTGTTCGTGTGTTTCGAAGGATAAAAACGAAGAAAAACTTTTTTTTATCTAGATTAGTGATTTCAGCACGGGGAACAAAGAATGAAATGACTTGGGAGTTACAGTGAAATATAATTTGTATGTATGAACTTTCTAAGTATAACTTTACTCTAAATAAGTTAGGTTATGTTACTAGTATTAAGTCAACAGGAGACAACAATAAAATTTCAGAATAAAAACAGTAATAAAAGTAGTATGTAAACTATGTAACAGTAACTATGAGAATATTTTTTAATAAATTGATTACTCAATTGGTCATAGGTTTCTGAAAACCGATAAGAAACCGGTTTTTCTAGAGACGTACTAGTCCCAACTCTATCTTATTTCGTAATGAGAATATTATATTGAGCACCTACGGCTAAACGTTTTTATCTTCGATTTTATTGCGAGCGGAATAGAAACGAGATTGCAACGTGCTCGTTACGGCTAAGCTCCCGAGTTATGTTTTATTGATGGCCGGGGTAACCGCTGGTTTTCTTTCATGATGTTAGTGGTGGATGCTTTAATTTTAATTTTCGGGTATATGCTTTACTCAGCGGCCACAATTTTCCACCCTATGAAAATACTCTTAGCTCTGTTTTATGGAATCAAATTCAAGTTTGATTCATCTACAATCAAGTTCAGTCATATTGATTAAAATATGGCTTAACAATTATTGTATTTATTGAATTCTAAACCAATGAATTTTCAAGAAAGAATGAAGTGGGAGTGGGCGTTTTACAAAATAAATAAGTCATTGTTTCATAAATACTTTACTAAGCAAAATATACAAAACACATGATATTTAAAAGAAATTCGTCTTGTTTCTTCATCTACAGTTTACCAGTATGAGAAAGGATCCACGGGACATAGTGCGCTACGTTGGCCAAGTACAAAGTGCGACTGTGGCAGGAGTGGCAATCGTTATCTAGCATGATGTAGGAAGCTATACCAACTAGCACGTTGTCCTTCACCATGGGGCTGCCGGAATCACCCTGAAAATGATGATTACCGGTTAACACTCCATTGTTTGAATCCAATTCGGCTGGGCAGCGTTAAAAATACCACAGTCACAAGACAAAAGTCTTTGACCTGTGTGTGTTGCCAGTGATGACATGCTATGCTATGGGCCTGATAAGAAGGTTACCCAGGGCCAAAGGCCGATGGAACGCACTATGCTCGGAGTTTCCCTGCGTGATCGAATCAGAAATCGGGAGATCCACAGGAAAACCAAAGTGACCAACTGGCCCGCAGAATTGATAAACTCAAGAGCCAATGGGTGGGGCATATACATATAGATCGCAGAGCCGAGCTGGACCCTAACCTTCCTTAAGAAGTGGATTAAAGTATGCGTGGTGTGCATGAAGCGTTATTTTTTATTGTGTGGGTGGATGATGTTTGACAGGGCGTTGTTATTGTTGTTGTTTCAGCCGAAAGACGTCCACTGCTGGACAAAGGCCTCCCCCAAGGATTTTCACAAAGACCGGTCCTGCGCCGCTCGCATCCAGGCACCTCCCGCGACCTTCACCAGATCGTCGGTCCACCTAGTGGGAGGCCTGCCGACGCTAAGTCTTCCGGCTCGTGGTCGCCACTCAAGAACTTTCCTGCCCCAGCGGGCTAATGTGTGATACAAAATACAATTTCAAAATATTATTGCTATACTCACGTAGCCAGCTCCTACTAGATTCTCAACACGCCTGGCGCAGATCGTGGTCTCATCCAACCAAGACATGAACGGGGCCACGCTCCAATACATAGAGCCAAAGTACCTTGCATAGCAAGTACTCGTCGAGTACCCATTTACGTCGATCTTCATGAGTTGTTTTGATGGCTTTCCAGTCTGCAACATTAAAATAATGTAAGATTTCAATAAAAAAACTCACTTTTAAAAAGCACTTTCACTCTATTAAGGCTCGAGTTACACCACCTAACTTTGAACGTAACTATTACGATAACCGGTGTTTTTGTATGGAGTTTGACAGCTTTTTGACATATGTCAAAGTTAAAGTAAAATGGTACAACCCAGGCTAATAGGAGCTTAGTATCTGTGAGTTATGGCCTTTTTACACTTAGACGGACAGTCTGAAGAGAAGGTTATTTAATATTATACGGATCCATCAAAATTTGAACAAAGTCATTTGTACAGTCGCGGAATGAAAAGGTTCGTCACCTTAGTGTCGGTTTTCGCTTGCACTAGGTACTGTAAGAGTCAAACCTGCCAACATACCAGTGCAAGAAACAGTGCTGCTAACATTTAAATAAATGTGACGTTTGCTAACGAATAAGGTTTTGCTTATTTTTCTGTCCCATCGCATCAGTGCAATGTTACAAAATGTTTTTTTTTTTATTTAATAGAAATAATAATGGCAGGTTGAACCAACAAGAAGGTTTTAGTTTTTCAATCATAAAAATTTTCTTGACAAGATAAATGTCAAACAACTTTAATCTGAATAATTTTGAACTTTACTGACTAACAGTTAAAGATTATTTTGTCTATCTCGAGATTATTCTGTAACATAGTTTCAAAAGGTAATATGTGCTCGCGATTCGTTGAAGGAATCAATTTGAAAACTGACGAACCTTTTCATTCCGCGACTGTACTTCTACTGGCATATCCGTCTCTTTAGAAAGACCACGACAAAGGACCGTCCGTGTAAGTGTGAACATGCCTTAACTGTTAATGTCTGATGGGTTTGTGAGATGTTTTAGCGAATTGCTTGTCTTACATAAATTAAGTACGGATATAGGTACATACCTCATCAAGGCCTACTCCTACGAACACATGTTTAGAATCATCTTCAAGTTCATATTTTTCGTCGGGCAGTTCCAAAGGCTGTATCCTGTCGCTGAACTTCAAAGGTTTTACTAGCCTTATCAGAGCAATGTCGTTTACAATAGCAAATCCTAAATCTGTATACTGAGGGTGGACGACGATCTCTTCGATAAATACTGGAACACTGTTTTCAAGTGTATGACTTCCGACAAATGTCACATGTTGTTCATAATGGCCATATCTGTAAAATAAACCATTGAGTTGTTGAGCGGCTATTCTAGTTCAATAAAGTCCTAGTATCACTGCGTCCGTTATCGATCTATTGAAAAATAAACCATGCTGTTACTTCTTTATTGCAATTTTATTTGCATTTTAACAATAAATAAATAACGTACTAGTAGATACAGATAATTTGTTACTTTAAACTTATTCTTTTTCTTTTACCTATGTTGTAACTATGGGCTGCTAAAATCATAACATATATGGGCTGATGATAGTGATGACTCTTACCCGTGAGGTAGGACGCAATGGGCAGCGGTGACTAGCCATTCTTCAGAAATGATGGCGGCCCCACACCCTTCTAGAATGGCGAAGTACGGGTGCTCGGTAATATCAGCTGGAGCTCCGTACGCTATGCGTGGCACTTGGGCCTTGTCATCCAATTCTCTAGAACGTTCTGAAAACAGATATCAGGTGTGAAAAGGTCATTCCTGCGGGCTTAAATGAGACCTAATTTTATTATCATCTTACATCAGATGTGATGTGAAGTGATTGGGTGATGAGATCAGGACATTTGGTGTCCACCGCAGAAGGAAGAGCCTCCCTAATTTACCAGAACCCAATGGAGGATTTTCCTATGTAGCTTTTAAAGACAATCTGTTGTGTTAGTTTCCAAAGATAATGTAAGAGCTATGCAGAATTCCAGATGCCTTAAAGAGTTAGGTATGGGAGAGATAATGTTAGATGTACTTAAGAGTTGTGACATAATCATCATCATCATCATCATTTCAGCCATAAGACGTCTACTGCTGAACATAGGCCTCCCCTAATGCTTTCCACGTTGATCGATTGGTGGCAGCCTGCATCCAGCGCTTCCCTGCTACCTTTACGATGTCGTCAGTCCACCTTGTAGGTGGACGTCCCACGCTGCGTTTTCCGGTACGCGGCCTCCATTCCAGAACCTTGTTGCCCCATCGGCCGTCAATTCTGCGTACTATATGCCCTGCCCATTGCCACTTCAGCTTGCTAATCCGTCGGGCTATGTCAGCAACTTTAGTTCGTTTACGGATTTCCTCATTTCTGATTCGATCTCGCAAAGAAACACCAAGCATAGCCCTCTCCATAGCACGCTGTGCGACTTTGAGCTTCTGTATAAGGCCTGTAGTGAGAGGCCACGTTTCCGAGCCATAAGTTATCACTGGTAACACACATTGTTTGTAGACTTTCGTCTTCAGGCACTGCGGTATTTTGGACGAAAAGATGTTACGTAGTTTCCCGAACGCTGCCCAGCCGAGTTGGATTCGACGATTGACCTCCTTCTCGAAATTGGACCTACCTAGCTGGATCGTTTGTCCGAGGTAGACATACTTGTGACATAATGAAACATTGTAATTATTCACTTACCATGATGGAGCAGAAAGGTTCTGGAGTGGAGGCCACGTACTGGAAAGCGCAGCGTAGGACGTCCACCCGCAAGGTGGACCGACGACCTCATAAAAATAACAGGAAGGAAGCAGGACCAATTAGTTATTATGGAAATCAATGGGTGAGGCCTATGTTCAGCAGTGGACGTCCTATGGCTGAAATGTTGATGATGATGATCACTTACCTTGTATAAAAGACAATGTATTCGTGATAGCTGGCACCAACATGCTAAATAGCATTTGCAACAGTAAGAATCCCACATATGCTAGCATTTTGGTTTCTGAATTCTCTTTCGGTTCATACGTTACGATTCTGAGTAGCTTTGTTTTAACCGCTCTCGTTTTTATATTTAAGTGGATTGTAAAAGGATGAGTTCACATGGTTTACAAAATATTTTTTATAGAAATAAAACGTACTCAGTAATTGCCCGATTGTCAAAACTCTACAAGCCAATGTATGCATGTCGAATGTTGATATGCATCACATCAAATCGATGTTTTTAATTTATTGTGCTCTACATAATAATTATGTAAGTATAGTTTCGTGACGTCGTTTTTTTAAATAAAATGCGAAAATTTTGAATAATTTCATAGCTTTAAAAACGAATAGCAATAATTTTATAGCTTTAAAAGTTCATCTCACCATTTATTTATATTACGTTATTTCTAGTTTTCTGGAACACTATGTACGCTCAGCTTTATATTATCTACAAAGGATTCCTAAAGAAATTATTTGTGTTTTTGTATGTAAATAAACACAATTTTTATTTGTTTTAAATAATTAGAATAATTGTTTTAAATACTTGGAATTCCAGATGTTACTGATTAGAGTTTTAACTACTTTCACGTGAATTTATATCTATAGGTATTTCAGTCTTCTTTTACACATTTTCCTTCAATGCATTATTCATCCAAAATTTTAAAAATTTATGACGGTTTATTAAGCCACCAAAATACAAGTACTTGTTTGCGACATTATTAGATTATGATTGGTTAATAGTGAATAGTGGCGGATTACTTCCTTAAACTTTTCATCTTTGCAAAGAACGGATAGTTCCTACATCAGCACGAGGTAATATATGCGCGATCTAACCTTCTTTGTCCGGGGTCTCTGAAATAAGTTATAACTTTTATCGAACCTTTATACGGCGTGCTGACGTGTCGGTTTCATTTTTTACTACTTCCTACAATAACTTATCGTTTTGTAGACCGTATTTTTGTCCATATTTATTTTAGTATCACTGAAATTGTTGCACAGTAAACTCTGCTGAGCCTTGTGACAGCTATGGAATTTGATCAGTATGGGGATCGTATTTTTAAATTTATGCAAATTTCTAGATGCTGATAAAATATTTTGGTAATAATCATTGCTTAACTAGGTTTGGTTGGAACATTGTAAGTAGGTATGTAGGTATAGCAATGACATAATATTTCAATCTGTTCCTGAGATCTTTTTTTTATTAAGAATTGGCTCCAAGCTTGTATTCTGAGGATTACTTAATTTTTGGTAATGACATTGACAAGCAATTGAGCAGAAATCAAGATTTGGCCATTTTTATATTTTTCATGTTACATTGATGGTATTTATTAGAAGATCTAATAACCTAAATAACCGCACACATAAAATTAATTTACTTTAGTTCTGGCTTATAAAAGCTCATTCAAATAGGACGGAATACTATCATAGCCACTACATTCCATCCTCATCTAAACAAATCAACTTTTCATTAACTCTATATTTATACGATGTCGGCGAAGCTATCGTTAATTTCGTTCCCCATTTTGACCACTTCGCCTGAAATATGGAATGTGTAAAGGTATTTTGTTATTGATTTGTATTTGGCATTGATATTTAGTGGCACGTGTAAGCCCTCACACGTGATTTGCCCATTGAAAATGGTTCGTTAGTCACTATATGGATGTTGCTCCGAAACTTTAGCAATATGTGTTAGGAATTAATTAAACCTATGCCTTAAGGCCTAATTTTGTTACAACGTACCTTCTTAATGCTAGGAAATCTATACTTATAATAAATCTGTACAGAGGTCAACTGTACATGAAATATTTTTTCAAAATAACTATCAGGGGGTGATTAGTGATCGATACTGATGCCAAAAATGCAATCAGTAAAATTTTTGTCTGTCTGTCTGTCTGTCTGTCTGTCTGTCTGTCCGTCTGTATGTTCCTTATAGAAACAAAAACTACTCGACGGATTTTAACGAAACTTAGTACAATTATTCTTCATACTCCTGGGCAGGTTATAGTATACTTAGGAATTCCCACGGAAACAGGAATTAGCGGGAAAATCCTTTTGTATGAAATATCTAAACCGCTTAAGTTAGACGCTTGAAATTTGGCATGTAGGTACCTTAGTAAACTTAAAGCTTAGTTACAACAAGTAAATCCCGAAATTCCCACGGGAACGGGAGTTAGCGGGAAAAAACTTTTGTATGAAAAAATCTAAACCGCGTAAGATAGATGTAGGGGGTAAAACGGGATCCACGCGTACGAAGTCGCGGGCGGCCGGTAGTAGTTTGAATAAATTCGTAAAACTGCTTTTTGAAAAAAAAAAAAAAAACAATACTTTTCATGATGATCACAAGTCAAAAGTGGCTCCAAAAACATTTTGTTTTGAACACAAGCACAATAATTTATGCATACGGTTTATAATATGAACGCGAGGAGCATCCTATACATTTGGAATTCAGACTTCGGATCTATTAGTTACTGTCGCTCACGCCAGCAAGTCTAGTCAGGTGTAAGATGAGCGAGGATAGATAGAGGATATCTAGACATAGTTGGCAAATCAAAAAGGGTTTGGCGAATCATGAAAGACTAAGTGAGGACTGATACAAAAATCATCATTTGCTAAAATTTGTAATAAAGCAAAACATCATCATCATCATCATTTCAGCCATAGGACGTCCACTGCTGCTGAACATAGGCCTCCCCCTATGACTTCCAAATCATACGGTTGGTAGCGGCCTGCATCCAGCGCCTTCCTACTACCTTTATAAGGTCGTCGGTTCACCTTGTGGGTGGACGTCCCACGCTGCGTTTTCCGGTACGCGGCCTCCATTCCAGAACCTTGCTGCCCTATCGGCCGTCAGTTCTGTGTACTATGTGCCCTGCCCACTGCCACTTCAGCTTGCTAATCCGCCGGGCTATGTCAGCGACTTTAGTTCTTTTACGGATCTCCTCATTTCTGATTCGATCTAGTAAAGCAAAACATAATATTATTGTATAAAAATACGTAAAAAATAATAATATACAAAACAATTGACCGGACCAACCGAGACGCCCATTCCATTAAATCCTACGTTATGTCCTCCATATGGAATTATTCGATGATAGCATTCAAACAAACCTTTTTTCGAATTACAAACCTTTGCTTAGAACAATTGGCTGGAATATCCCGATTTATTGTAAACATCGGTCCGCTGGCCCTGTGCCTATGAGGATAGAGTTCAAGTTGGCGTAAGGAGATTACGTTAAAATGACTTTGACCCTCATTGATTGGGAACGCAAAATCTCATTTCCTTCGGGATGTAGGCACGGTATATTATCTACAGCGGAACCTCGCGGTACAGTCTCGGTAATAAATGATCTGCTTTGTAATATTGGGGATTGGTTCAATAAGTTTCCAACGACTTTGAAAATGGAGCCGGTTATCTGCCTAATATTGATATCAAAAAGTGATAATGACACTTAATAATATAATAATAGATCATGACTATGAATCATGATCCACGTAGTTATAATAATATGTTTTTATTCATCTTCATCGTTTCAGCTACAGGACGTTCACTGCTGAATATAGGCCTCCCCCAATGATTTCCATATAGCGGCCATGTTTTTATTGATTTAGATGTTTTCTAATATTTTCATGACCATAAATGTCTTATACCACTCTACTATTCTTTGCTCTACCTAAAAATTTACCTATGTTTGGTTGCAAAACTTCTCTACCGGGACCAACTTGACAACGATAACTTCTCAAATAATTCTCCTACAACATTCTAGTGGCAATTCAGTAATCTAGCGCGGAAAACTATAGAGATAGTGCGCGGGCGCCGCTGGAATTGATTGCCGTTGTGAGTCCGCAGCATACTGAGTGTAAAGAGTAATGCAACACAGAGAAACTATTTCATTCTTCTGAATTTCTTTGCCTCAAATACTCCAAATTATATGTTATCTAGAATGTCCCCTGGTTCGATTAATCGACAATCTTTCTTAAAAAGAAAACGGGCATTAACTGGATGAAAAAAACGAGAGACTGCTTATTTTGTGCTTCGTGGTGGACTCCAGTTAGTGGACTGCCAATGTCATTGACTGTTAATGATAATGATGATGAACTTTTTGTAATGATATTTTTAGAATTATAGTCTGGAAATATAGTAATTTCATCCAAAATATGCAAATGACAGCTTAGGCAAAAGATGAAAGTATAAATTGCTTCAATTGTGAGAGGTGTTCTCTGAGAATATCTGCTCTGTGACCGCGAAAGCTTTCGGCGAGTGTTCTTTTAGAAAAGCTCTTCTTATGCAAGACACGTCGGGCACGAATTTACAGGCAATTCATTCGATATTGGATTATTAGGCATTGATCTTTTTAAAATTTCCAACTTAGTCCTGATACTCACTAGAGGAAAGATGATACTTTGTTGCAATGTGAACTATTTCATCGTAATAATTATTATTGTAAAATTTCATAATTATTTTTTAAAGTTTTTGCGTGAAGGAATAACAAACATCTATCTGAAACAAAATCGCAATACTCTTTTTGTGTTTATATTAACAACATTTTTTTGAAATTGTACTGGATTTTAACTTAGAAGTGACGCGGGCGGTCTGAGATCACTGCTACTTTGAGATAGTATGTACCTAGGTAGGTACCTGAAAATTCTCTTGGTTAGTGTTACTTAAGAAATAAAATGACTACTTCCAGTACTATGCGTTATTCTCGACCCTCTGTCCAAAATTTCCAATTCAACTGAACGAGAAAATAAATGTCCAATGATACGATTAGACGGGCCAAGAATTTTGATTCAATGTTATTTTAACTCAATAAAGTTTGAGTAGTGACCTCTAGGTTTGCATCAGTCATCATCAAATAGTAAGAGGATGATGATTTTACTTGTTCGTAAAAATAGAGAACGTATCAAAATTTGGGTTGAATCGTAGAAAACAAATAAATGATTGGATTAATAAAATATGAACTAAAGAAGACGGATTGACGGTAAATGGTATGTAAGGATAAGTGGTTTAAGGCAC